CACTCAGACTTCTGACGAGAGAGCTCAATAATTGACTGGGATTTTAAATTTTTCTCTTGACATTTGGAGCGTCATATGGTAAGGCAATGCTGAAGGCTGGGGGCCCTCGTTCCCGATGAGTTTGTGTTGCTGAGTTTATTTCCTAAGGTAGTGTTCGAAATATATTTATTTCTTGTAGTTTAGTGGTGGCACCAGAAAGAAAATTTGGGACCACTGCTGTAGTGTATCTAGAGCTTGTCACTTGTGACAGGCTGTAGAATTTCAATTTATTTAAATTACTCTGTGATTCTTTGTCCACCCGTCTCATATCAAAAAAACTAAAGATTGAAATATACAGAAGTGTAATTTTGCCAGCTGTGCTGTATGGGTGCGAAACTTGGTCTCTCGCTTTGAGCGAGGAACAGAGATTGAGAATCTTTGATAACAGAGTATTGAGGAAGATGTAAGACTTGAGGTTCTCACAGCGGTGAGTATGAAGATTTCTGTCTTCTGGGTTGATGCGCTGTGTAGTCTGGTCGATGTTAACCAACGTTTCATCGCCCTGATGACGGAGGCAGTATGACCTCTGAAACGTTAGTTAACATCGACCAGACTACACAGCGCAACAACCAAGAAGACAGAAGTCTTCATACTCATCGCCCTGATGACGGAGGCAGTATGACCTCTGAAACGTTAGTTAACATCGACCAGACTACACAGCGCAACAACCAAGAAGACAGAAGTCTTCATACTCATCGCCCTGATGACGGAGGCAGTATGACCTCTGAAACGTTAGTTAACATCGACCAGACTACACAGCGCAACAACCAAGAAGACAGAAGTCTTCATACTCATCGCCCTGATGACGGAGGCAGTATGACCTCTGAAACGTTAGTTAACATCGACCAGACTACACAGCGCAACAACCAAGAAGACAGAAGTCTTCATACTCATCGCCCTGATGACGGAGGCAGTATGACCTCTGAAACGTTAGTTAACATCGACCAGACTACACAGCGCAACAACCCAGAAGACGGAAATGTTTTATTGAGGAAGATATTTGTACCTAAAAGGGACGAAGACGGATCATGGAGATAATTCCATAATGATGAGCTTCACGTCCTGTACTCCTCACCTGATATGGTTAGGGTGATTAAATCAAGGATGATGAGGTGGGCGGGACATGCGGCACGCATGTGGAGTGGAGAGGTGTTTTCAGGGTACTGGTTCGGAGACCTGAAGGGAGGAGACCGCTGGGAAGACCTAGGCGTAGGTGGGAAGAAAACGTTAAGATGGCCCTCAGGGAGACAGGAATCGATGGAGCGAACTGGATGAAGCTGGCTCAGGACAGTCAGGTGGTGGGCTTTTGTTAACACGGTAACGAACCTTCGGGTTCCATAAAGAAAGTGGCTGTTCTTTGACAAGCCGAGTTTACAATGGACTTTTCAAAGAATTCACTGCACAATAGAGTGAGTCAGTGAGTGATTCTCTCTGTTGTGCCTAGTAGACGCGTTCTCCTCTGCACGTCCTAGGCGCTGCTGTGCATGGCGTGACGTCTGTCTGCAGCGACCTAAGGCAAGCATTACGTGACTGAACCACATTCAAAGGAGGAGGATATTAAGGAATATAGAGGAAATGAAGAAGGAGGAGAATGATTAAAAGAAGGTGGGGAACGTAGAAGCGATGTTTTACTCCCGTACGGTTTAGTTGTGTTAGTCCTTGTGGCTGAAACAGTTGTCCAGTGCTGTAGTGAATGTCAGTGTTGCCAACCGCATAGTTTAAATATATAATTTAGTACACTCGCTCTCTTTTCGTGCGTAATGACAGAAGTATTTGCACATAACGTTTTTATTTTTTTTTGTATTTTTTATTTAAAAATTTAATAATTACATTCATCAAAATAATATTTGCATCCGGTTTCTTTAAGACCGACTCTATTTAAATTAAAAGGAGCGCCTAATAGTGATCTGTAAATACGCCAAGTGTGTTACTGCATTTCGTATTCAGTAAGATCTGAGCGTCTCTGTTGAATTCAGTTTCCTCTCTTCTGTTAAGATGAACAGTAGTATTGTCACATGCCGAGGTGTATTATAGTTAGATGCGTTTTAAATTTATTGCATAAATTCATATAATTCTGTTAAAAATGCGGATTAAGTAATTTAGAACATTTATTTTTAGGGCAATGCCAGAATTGTAATTTTTGCATAAGCGAAAATATCTGTTTGGTATCGTTGTATTCTTTATTTGTTCTATTTGGATATGTTTTAATATTTGTATTGAATTAGCAACGTAACATCTAATTAGATAAAGGCAAACATTTGTTACAAAACAAAATGGACTCTTTCCAATTTCTTATACAAGATAGATGTTTTATCCAGGCTTAATATATTTTTCTAAATTCGAAAATGATAATTTTAGATTAGTTCTGCTTCAGGCGAAAAGAAAACTTATGCTGAATATTTGGGTTTCATCTGCTCATCTTGCTTTGTGTATACAATTTTCACTTTAGTTTTGAATTTACGTGAAAATATTATTTCTTTAATGTTTTATTCTTTAAAAATGAATATTTTAAGAAATGTGTTGCTAATGTATAAATAACTTGAACATGTAGTTTAAAATTCCTTAATAAATATTTTCGTGATTTTAGAATATTACTACTACTACAACAACAAATTTGAAACTTGCCTTCATATTTTACCACAATTTTACCATTGTATCTAACATCGCAACTGACTTCTGCGCCTTGCGTTTAAACCAAATTTGACTCAAGGTATATTTAAATTTATATTTTCTATTCAAATCTCTCTCTTGTGTTTATAGGGACATAGCATACTTTTCAATCATATAAATAAACAAGACGACATTTTTCTACGTGGATTAATCTCTACGTATAATTATAATAATAATAATGATAATGAATCTTATTATGCGATATACGTTTTAATTTCTAACAACGATTTAATTTAGCTATGCAGACTTTTAGAACAATTGATAATAAAAGTGTGCCCGGAATGTATACTGTATTAATGACGTTTCTGTGAAAGTCTGATTTAATAAAACGGCACTTTCATGTTCTTGTGGCGGATGTGCGGTGCATAGTTTTTTGTGTTTACATATTTAACACGAGAAAGTGTTGTATGAATCATTTATGCATTTATCGATCTGTTTCCTGTTTTACCTAATATGGTGCCGTTATCGGAATATATTCGGTTGATACTTTCGTATTTGTATTCATTTGCAAACGGATCCCTTGCCTCTTCAGGCAAATGCGCGGGAAAGTGCTTCAAAATAGGTCACAGTTACTCAACTATTTTACTGCTTATCGTCCCAGAAAAAAAATATTGAACACACTTGTAATTAATGTTGTAAATGGGAAGGGGAAAAAAAATATTGAACACACTTGTAATTTATGTTGTAAATGGGAAGGAACAATACTTATTTCAAACTTCATTCGGAATTTGAACCTAGGCTGAACATAACTTGGACCTGACTCGAGAATTTAAGCAGGAGACTGTTACCGAAAGTCGCTCATAATTCGTGTAAGGGAGGTCCCAGGTTCGACTCATAACCTGGAGTCTGGCTGTACGTGTTGAGGTATTTTGCGAGTTTTACTTAGTTCCTCCAGGTACACTGTTAGGTAGTTTTTCAAAATAGGCGACGGCAACGCTTTTCAACATTTTTTTCCCTTACACTGTTAGGTAGTTTTTCAAAATAGGCTACGGCAACGCTTTTCAACATTTTTTCCCCTTTTCTTCATTAACAACTGCAAAGACTTACTTTGATGCTGACGTAAAATTTTGTGGATAACGAATTGTCTTTTGTCTAACTTTGTAATGGAAACCAAGAAGTTCAGATTTTTTCTCAAATAAAACATAACATGTCACCGTCACGAGGATCAGTTGGTTAGTCTGACGTAGTCATAGTAACCTGATACTTTTGTTCCTACCTCAAAGAGAACAGGTCTCGTGACCATTATAAAAACTAATTAGTTTTCGATGTTTGTCTTCTGTATTGTAAACAGCTTGGACTTGTATACAGATACCCCCGAAGGTGGAGGTAGTATGTCCTTCCTAAACGGTGTTGCAGCCCAGGAGTCTAACATCGATATCTTCGCCGCAGAATCGAACTAAAATATCGTGTATCGTTTGGATATCCTGAAGAAGACAACGAGGATTAAGTGGGGAGACAGTATTGAGAGTCGCTAAAATTTAACAGAGGAATTAGAATGTTTCCTACTTGTGAACGTTCTCAGGCAGTGTCCACTCGTCCGTATATTAAACGTATGACGAAGAGAAGGTGAAGAATTCATTTGGGTTACGAGCAAAGAGAGGGAGTTGAGGCGGGTCTTATTACTGAAGCCGATAGGAATCTTGAATTTTGATATTACTTTTCGAGGGCAAAATTTGGTGGAATTTTGATGTTAACAGTGGAGGTACTATAGGGCGAAATTTGGTTGGTCAGACGTTGCCGTGGCAAGCAGAACATTAATTTTCTATCTCAAAGAAAAAAATCAGCGCTTTACCATTACATTAATCATTTGATTAATGCCATTAAACCAAGAGAATGCTCTTACGCGAACTGGTCATTGCAATTGTCCCATGTACATGAAAATTGGCGTTGATGATCAATTATTCGTAAAACCGGCCAGAGTTAGATTATAAGAATATTTTCCCGGTCGTTCATGAGTTCTTTGACCGTACAAATAACTACTACTGAAACTGTAAATTTAATTAGTAATTACAAGATTCATACAGTTCAATGGCGTCGTCAAAATCTGAAATATATAACATAGATTAAAATGTCTTAAATACATTGTTTATCATTAAGTGTAGTCACCATTTTTCTCACAGTTTCTTTGAAGCGAGTCCTCGTGTGTAGGTCTGCTTGTTAAACGGAATTATGTTTAAGTATTTCTCCCATGCGGAGAACGTTTTAATGGAAAACATTTTTTATTTTCTCTCAAATGTTTATTTGCTGGCTCGTGGATAAGTGCTACGTTGGTGCTGATTCTGCGCGATAGACGACGACACGTCTCCCGTGATGGACGGTGGCTCCACACCGCTGATGGCGTCGCTAGAAGCGCAAGGTAGCTCTTCAAATGTTTACGTCGTAACTGCTTGTAAATTTAGCTCCCATTTCAGAATTGACAGTTGAAATATGTTGTGGTCGGAACGGATTTTGATATTTTCCTTGGAAAACATTAATTCACATTGGGGAGGTTACTTCCAGTCCGCGTGTTTCATATCCAGAAGTACCTGGCCATCTATCTAGACCAGAATTGGTTTGTATCCTAACAATTTATCATATAGAAAATGACATGTTTTTATAAAATACATACTTAACTAAGATATAAAGCCCTTGGTTTTTTTGGTATGTGTCAGCTGATATGTTTATGGGAAATACTGTATTGTCCACGCCATGTGGCTTGGTGTTTTGCGCAACCGAGGCTAGGAGACGCTCTGCGCATGCTCTGTGCTGCAGTGGAAAAAAATATCCCCATTGCACGCACAATGTGAACAGTGTTCAGGAATAACAGTGGAGCCAACTCCGCTGGACATAAAGTTTTTTGATCGTTGAATGTTGGCTTTACCGTTACGTTGCATAAACCGAGCCGTAACGAGCCTATAAAAAAAGCCAGAACTATGGAGAACAGACGCCAAGCAAACTGGTTCTGGCAGTACAGTCATTAGAATTATCATTTTGTGATACGTATTTTCTAACGGAAACTGTGGTTAATAGTTTTACGATATGTTGATTAAGATTCTTCTTGTACTTAGTAACATGATGTGTCATTTGTTTTTGCGTGTGTAAGACTGTTGGGAAAACATGCATTTTTTCTTTAAATTTTAAGTGTCTTGCTGAATAAAGTTTTTATGTCAGGAATTTGATCGACGCCATTTTGAATCAATTATGCATGCCAGTTTATGATTTATTGAGGGACGATGTGATAACACTGAAGTCGGGTGAAAATATAGAGAATTCATTTTATTTAGGAATTTGAGAAAGAATTTAACATTTAGAATATTGTATTTGTAAAATAAAATGCCATTTGCCGGAAGTGAAGAAATCATTTTAATGTAGATCATAAACCAGGGTTTTATCGCTTTCTACAGACAATATAACAAACTTGGTTGACCGGAAAATCGGAGGAAGTTAACGTAAGCAGTTAGCAGGATCTGGGAAAGCGAATTTAGGGGCAGAGGGGATGGTTGAAAAGCACGTAGTCATTATTCACTTGAAAGTCAACCACACGGATCAGATGCATTAAAAATAGGGATACTATGGGACGCTGCACGTCCTGCTGATTACAGGAAAACGCTGAAATGGTTATTCCAGATTTATGTACGGGAGCCGAATGTGAGCAGTTTATTCAAAATTAGCCGAATTCGGAGAAATGATATCTCAGAAATTGACTGAGACTACCTCGGAAAAGTTACAGTTTATATAATATTACAAAGTTTTCCCATGAATCTTTAATCTCAGCTTATAAATTATACTGAGCATTAGTAAACAACCTTCAGTTTTCTAGAATTCATAAGGTAATGCTCGCAGTCTGCTTCTAGTTTACGATTACGCGTGATAAACTTTCGTCTCCTTATCCTAGGCTACTATGCTGTCACGACTAATGAATTAAATCACAGTTATCTGTTTCACTGTAGGAAATACTACAAAACGCTTGAATTATAGGTAAATTGTTTTCTAATCAACCTGTATTTCATTCGTAGCATTTATTTTGTTTGTCCTTCGGCAAATCAGTGTAATTGTTTCTTGTCTCGTCTCCTTTCCTTCTTTTCAGCGTTTCCTCCACGTTCACTCCGTTACAGACATTTGCTTAAACTTTACAAAAAGTGTCATGAGAACAGAGCATCTTAATGTGGAAAATTCCACCAGTCAAATACTCTTTATTAAATAAGCTAGTCTTTATTTTGTGTTTGTCTTAATTTGTTTCTGACATATTCTGCGAGTTGCTTTCGGTTGTCCTCAGTTCGTGTAGGCATACAGGTATGCCATAGGGTGTGTGTGGGTTTTGTGTTCGTATGGGCATATCCTTAGTGTGTTATTTTGTATTTGACCTAAGTTTGTTCAGGTATATCCTACATCCCCGGAGTTAATTTGTAGTTCTGACTTGTATGAGGAATATTTTATAATCTGTTAGTTTATTTGTGGTAGTTCATAGTTCGTGTAGACATATCTCATTTCCTGTGAGTTATTTTTCTGTTATTCTCAGTTCGTGTTGGTATGTAACGAACCAAAACTTCGTCCGACGTAACTCACAACTCATTTACCTTTCCACGCTAAATAATCCACGCAAGTTGAAACCGAATCTCGAAGTAAATTCAGGAACACATTTACTCAGAGAAGGCTACATAAAAGTCACGAAATTACTTCTTATGCAACTACTCTAATTTGATCTCACTTTGTTTTCAGTCTTTGTTCACCCCTGATACTTAAAGCTCTTGTCAACGATTACAATAACATGTAAAATAACTGTAACAAAATTAATCCAAATTTTAGTTGAAAAATTTTAATTTCTTAGACCATGTCTAACATTGGCTTTCTACTTTTAAATGATCATATTATATTCGTCAGAGGAATAATAATTTGAATATTGTATGCAAGTAATTTCGTAACACTTTTCACTGTGTTGGAAAAGTATGTCATGTTCACGCAGATACATAGACCTACGCTAGGGATTGCTGTTTGCAGACATGAGATCCGGCTGGAAAATACCAAGTTGATATAAAAGTATCAAACAGCATGTTTTATTTGGCTTAGGGGACATAGGTTTTTTGCCACTGAATTAATAAGTACTAATATTACACAAGTCGGTAAGGGAATTATTTCATTTCGCTAGGATTGTCTGTTCTTGATTTGCCTGTCCTAAACTTGTGTGTGTGCTCCATGAAAAATTGTCAGTGGAACCACGGTTCCGGAGAATTTGACGTAAATACGTCTTTACGGAAAGGAAGTTTATATATTGGCTTTATTCTAAATATTTCCTTTATACATGCTTTACAGTTGAGGTAAGTTTGATTAAGACTTTGCTTATTCAACTTCAATTAGTTACGCTTAAGATTGGTCTGTGGTAGCTGAATGTAATGTAATGTAAAGTAATGTAATTTAATGAAATGTAATGTAAGGTAATGTAAGGTAAGGTAAGGTAAGATGGTTACCTAGGAAACGTCATCTGTTTATCAATAAACAGATGATATTTCCTAGGTAACCATCTTACACTTTTTCGTTTCCCTTTTTCGTTACACTTTTCTTCCTCATAGACGTATTTACGTCAAAAATTTCACTTCCAGTTCAAATTATAACCTCAGTCCCTCCTGAATCACATCCGCCAGTCGAGACCTCTACTTTAACTCCGGGAGGTTTCTTATGTACCTAAACATGCATCGTATCGAAAACCTATTTAATCCAAAGCTGTTAACCACAACAAGATTACCGCATTGTATAACCGGGGATGTTTTAAGGCTGTGAACATCAGACCTAATGGGATGAAGACGTGCGCGAGTTCCCACTCGCATTCTTTACTTAATCTGTTTCCTTCTTTCTGAAACATGTGGATACATATTAGTACCCTTTAGAGACCGCACGACTGAAGAAAATCACGCATTGGGGACGATTATCGTTTATACACTTATGCTAATTATTCTTCATCGAATATTCCCACGATGGTTATGAGTAGAAAAATAAAATGTTGACGATGTTTCGAAGTAATTGCTGCCTTCATCAGAATCGAAGTTATGGGAATACAACGACGCTGTTTTTCAAATCCTTAACACGATTACTTGTGATCGTTCAGGTGATGAAACGCAACGGGATTGTGCGATTATTCTGATTCGCGACCGAGTCAAACCATAACTAATACCGCTGCTATCTTATATTTTCAGTCGTCATACAAGGTTTCTTTCAAGTTCAGTAATAATTAAAAATATTTTAAATTATTTACGTTACAGGCCAATGTTAAACCACTATCACTTCAAAATATACCCTCACTCCAATGAATTTGGATGTAAACATCATCAGAAGTTACACAACAACAGTAATTAAGTTTTAGTTTATAAGATTATAATTTTTAACTTTTAACTTTACACCTGAAGATGGTTCAATGTAACCGAAACATGTAGTAAAAAGATGTACCAAATATGTAAATGATATTTTAATATCTTATGTATAAATTTTATTTATATACAATTGTGATTAGACGGAAAAAAACACGAATAATTAAATTATAATATATATTTAATTAATCAGTAATACCCAACATATATTGTTTGCCGAACTTCAAGGCGAGGTGTGCCTTTGGTGATGTAGGCTAAAATCGTACGGCTCTCTAAAATGGATTTGAGAGAAATAATCTGTCGACGTTTATGGTTACAGTAAATAACTTTCGGGATTTTATCACGGAATTTTGAAGGAACTCCCCAGCCGTGGAGTTGGTTTATAGAACCGAATGTAGCACAGACTTTTAGCGCTTTGTCCTTCGTATGAGACGACAAATTATTCTACCGTAAGTATGCCTTATAGATGTTAATGAAGTCCTTGACGTTGAAATATTTTCGCCACGAGACAATTAATGATGGATGGACAACGGGTAGATGACGGATGGGAGAGGAGATTCCACACGTACGACCTCTTGCAGTCCTTGGAGTCCATAAGTTACGGTACATGATGACACTTAAACCAACTATTCAGTCACTTTTTATCACAAAATTGAAAGTATTCGGAGAGCAGCAAAACCTTGAAGTATTTCTAAGATTTAATCACTAAACTAATGGTAGACGCAATGACGGATTCTGAAGGCTCTTTCCCCCATTAACGAACGATTTTGTGACACAAAGTGTAAGGAACAAGTGACTATACGGAATCACAAATTACTGACGTGGAAAATCCGTGGAGTCTTTTATATACCCAGAACCAATAGCCCGTAGGTAAAGGGAGATAAATTGCAGGTCTCCGCTGACTAAATGACGTATGATTTCTAGATGCAGTTATACGATGTGCCACGAAGAATAATGAGGCTTCTGAGCGCCACAGGGGGCTCACAATGTTGGTACTTTAGACTTCATATTTAAATGC